CGCTTATGAACTATAATATGCATTATACAGAGGCAAGAGGAAAATAAAAAATACCATCGAAAGACAGTAAGTTCCCCTCAGACATACATTCATACACACTACCCCTAACTGAATCGCGATTGGTTTAGCATCTCAACCGATTTGAATCGTCACGTATTTGAATCGATTTTCAACCGGCTCGCGGTTAATCGTTACATCCCTAATGATGATGTTCGTCTGAACTGAGTCTGTGTGGTTTTCCCCGCTGCAGATCGTCTTATGCCAGAACAACATCCATCAGCAGGCTCACATGAACCGTGTGGTGACCCACGAGCTCATCCACGCCTTCGATCACTGCAGGGCCAGAGTCGACTGGTTTAGCAGCTTCAGACACCTGGCCTGTTCAGAGGTGAGCAACACAACACTGTGTTTAGCTGTTGCTGTGCATTTCTAAATTACGCTTAAATAAATAACATTAAAATAGCACAAATAATTGGTTTTAGAAACCACATCTAAAATATAAAATACTGAAACCAAAATAAATGCTTTTAAAAACCTCATATAAAATTTAAAAATAGAATCCAAAATAGAATGTTAAAAAACAAACATAGAACATTCTAGATTCCACATCTAAAATAAAAAATAATATAATAATATTTTTAGCAAACGAATTTGAAGAAAATAAAAATAATATAATAAATATAAAAAAAATATAAAATTAAAAAATAGAATCCAAAATAAAATGTTAAAAAACATCTAAAAAACATTGTAACTATAATAAAACATTCTAGAATTTTTTCTAAAAATAATATAATAAAAATTAGAAACCACATCTAAAAAATATCATTCAAAATAAAATGCTTCACATATAAAATAAAAAATAGCATCCAAAATGTTTTAGAAACCACATCTTAATTAAAAAATATTAATATAGATATATTAAAAATAAAAAAATATATAACCAAAATTAAAATGTTTTAGAAAACCACATCTAAAAAAAAAAATTGTAACAAAAAACAAATGTTTTAGTATCTGCATCTGAAATTAAAGAGGTATAACTAAAATAAAACCTTTTTAAAAACCACATCTAATATTTAAAAATAGTTTAACTAAAATAAAACTATTTAGAGACATTTTAAAAATGTCAACCTGGTGCATTTCCTTTAAGTAACATCGTAAACATCGTGTTTACTACAAAAACACCAAACTGCAGCTTTGGTCCGACATTTTATTTGGGTGTTAAAATAATGTATAGCGTGAGACGATTCACAGCACTCTGAAATGTTTGTGCTTGTTTTGTTCCCTTCAGATCCGAGCCGCTAATCTGAGCGGAGACTGTTCGTTCGTTAATGAGATTTCCAGATTTAACTTTGGCCTGAAAGAGCACCATCAGGTTTGTGTATTTGGCTGCGTGTTGTGGATGGTTTCTGGATGTGTGTTCATGTGTGTTCATGTTTTAGGCGTGTGTCCGCGGCCGAGCGCTGCGCTCCATCCTCGCCGTTCGCAAGGTGAGCCGGGAGGAGGCGGAGCTAGTGGTTGACGAGGTGTTTGACAGCTGTTTCCATGACCACGCCCCTTTTGGCCGCATCCCACACAGCAAGAAAGACGCCAAGTTCGCTTACAGAGATTACGAGAACCGAGACCGATACTACACCAACCTCTGACGCAAGAGAGAAATCTGATACACCTTCATGCATGTTCAGGAAGAAGTATAAAACTGCATACTTGCCTTTTTCATCACTAAACGTTTGACAACACCATTCATGTTTTCTTTATCTGAGCATCAGTTTGAAACGGATGAGATTGTTTATTGATGGATTAACGATCAAATCCGTCTTTGTATATGATTGTACAGGTTTTTATGAGTTAATCTTGCGAACATTCAGTGTTCATGGAGCCTCTGGTTTCTGCACAAAACTGAAAACCTTTCCATTTAAATAACAGGATTAAAGAAATGTTATTTTACACCAGTGTTTTTCCTCCGTTGCGTCGTTGATCCACACGGTTTGATTACGAACCATTGAATTATACAGGAATTAATTCAGCTATTTTTATTTATTATTTTATATTATACAAATACATAATTATACAATAATAGTTAAATTTTTTTTTTTTTAAGTTTGCTATTTTTTTGTGCTTTCAAACGATTAATCGCGATTAATCACATTCAAAATAAAAGTTTTTGTTTACATGATATGTATGTGTGTGTGTACTGTATATATTTATTATGTGTATATATAAATACACACACATACAGTATATATTTAGAAAATATTTACATGTATTTATATAATATATAGAAATATATTTAATATAGAAATATAAAGTTTTTCTATATATGTGTATTTATATATACATAATAAATATACACAGTACACGCACGTATTATGTAAACAAAAAACTTATTTTGGATGTGATTAATCTTTTGACAGCACTACTATTTTTATATCACTATTGATATTACACACACTTTTTAATTCCTTTGTATATTAAATATCTGAATAATTAAGGAATTTATTAATTTATTTTTAAAATGAATTTATTTTATATTATACAAATACATACATTATACAGTTATGTGTGTGTGTATATATATATATATGTGTGTGTGTGTGAGAGAGAGACGCTCTGGTCTCATCACGTGTGTGTGTATATATATATCTGGATGTGTGTTCATGTGTGTTCATGTTTTAGGCGTGTGTCCGCGGCCGAGCGCTGCGCTCCATCCTCGCCGTTCGCAAGGTGAGCCGGGAGGAGGCGGAGCTAGTGGTTGACGAGGTGTTTGACAGCTGTTTCCATGACCACGCCCCTTTTGGCCGCATCCCACACAGCAAGAAAGACGCCAAGTTCGCTTACAGAGATTACGAGAACCGAGACCGATACTACACCAACCTCTGACGCAAGAGAGAAATCTGATACACCTTCATGCATGTTCAGGAAGAAGTATAAAACTGCATACTTGCCTTTTTCATCACTAAACGTTTGACAACACCATTCATGTTTTCTTTATCTGAGCATCAGTTTGAAACGGATGAGATTGTTTATTGATGGATTAACGATCAAATCCGTCTTTGTATATGATTGTACAGGTTTTTATGAGTTCATCTTGCGAACATTTAGTGTTCATGGAGCCTCTGGTTTCTGCACAAAACTGAAAACCTTTCCATTTAAATAACAGGATTAAAGAAATGTTATTTTACACCAGTGTTTTTCCTCCGTTGCGTCGTTGATTACGAACCATTGAATTATACAGGAATTAATTCAGCTATTTTTATTTATTATTTTATATTATACAAATACATAATTATACAATAATAGTTAAATTTTTTTTTTTTTAAGTTTGCTATTTTTTTGTGCTTTCAAACGATTAATCGCGATTAATCACATTCAAAATAAAAGTTTTTGTTTACATGATATGTATGTGTGTGTGTACTGTATATATTTATTATGTGTATATATAAATACACACACATACAGTATATATTTAGAAAATATTTACATGTATTTATATAATATATAGAAATATATTTAATATAGAAATATAAAGTTTTTCTATATATGTGTATTTATATATACATAATAAATATACACAGTACACGCACGTATTATGTAAACAAAAAACTTATTTTGGATGTGATTAATCTTTTGACAGCACTACTATTTTTATATCACTATTGATATTACACACACTTTTTAATTCCTTTGTATATTAAATATCTGAATAATTAAGGAATTTATTAATTTATTTTTAAAATGAATTTATTTTATATTATACAAATACATACATTATACAGTTATGTGTGTGTGTATATATATATATATTAAATTTTTTTGTGACATTTTTATATCAAAACTGATATTACACATTTTTAAAATTCCCTTATGATTATATAATAAATATTTGAATTAATAATGTTTTTTAATATACCCTTTTTAAATTTAAAAACAAAATTTTTACATTTTATGTCAGATATTTTTATTAATATATTATTTTAAAAATCCTATATTATGTAGGGTTTTTAAGTCAGTTGTGTCGTTTATCCACAAGGTGGCGCTGCTGTATGCTGTGGAGTCTAATTATTTACCATTTAACATCTGAGGCCTAAATGTAAATTAATCGAGTTCCTATCACTGATCTAGATATAGTTCTCCGTTATAGATCAGTGGATCCTATATTTAAAAGATTCAAATAAAGTGGTTCTTATTACCTTCAGCTTTTTGTGTCTCGAAACAGTATTTAATGCGAGAGACTGTGGGCAGAACTAACTCACAAACAGTAAAGCCATTGGTTGACAATCTGATTAATAACAGACACCTGCCAGAGATCAGACTAGCATTACACACAAGAAACTGCAGGAACACATCAACACACAGAAGTCCTCTCTGAATGCCGTAAGTTAATTTTCTTTAACTTTATGACAATGTTTTGTATTCAAGTAACTCTTAGTTTTGTTACTCTGTTTTTGCTGCTTGATATTGCCAGCTGATGTTTGTGTTTGGTCGTAATCATAAAAACATGCTGCTTACCCTGACTTAAATTAACTATAAAAAGCCACACAAAAAACATGGTTATTATTGGTAAACCGTGGTAGCCATAAGTTACCAATGGTTTTGCTACACTGAAGTTTAACCAATTAATGGTTTCAAGTAAGTGTAGTGATTACACAAATGGTAATCAATTAATAATAATAAAAACATGGTTACTCTACACTTTTATTAGAATAAAAAAATTTTTTTAGGCTTTTGTTGTTCTCCTAGTTGTTTACCTGTAGCTGCTAATGAGACTTTGATCTACTTCTGCTGGTAAAATAATGAGGATATCTGTAATGGTTTTTATGTTAGCACCACCGGTCACAAGAAACCGCTTCACTTCAGCATGTGTCCTCACACTTTTAAAGCTCTTATGACTGATGTTAACTAATTTTAAAATTGTCTGTAGATCATAGATGTGTGTGTGTTATTTGCATTGTGGTGTTTTCACATTAAGCTACTCCACAAAACTGTGGAACTTGACATTTTGCAGATCGGTGACCTGTTTCTATTATTATTGTTGGAGACCTGATCGTTTCACCGCATATCAGTCCGTCTGTAGGTCTGTCTGAGACTTGTCTTCTTGCAGGAAGATGTTGTGAGTGAAACACGAGCTGTGTTTGAGGTTCTGCTCTCTGTCTGGAGGAGATTTCTGCTTCAGCTGCTGGAGGTCAGGAGGAGGTGGCAGGAGAAGCAGGGAGCAACCGTTGACCTCTGACCTCTTTCTGGACTCTGTGAAACACAGCGATAGCCTTCCAGCTCTCGGACTCGTCTGACTCTAGCAGCTCGGACCCGTTCTCTGGAGAAATGCATTGACGGGCCGCTTGTTTAATCAAATGCTTCATTAGAGAACGATCAGTGCTGTTTGTGTGTATAAAGTGTGTGCACAATAAAAAGATAAATGTGATGTTTGTGTGGCGTTCATGATTTCCAGAGATCGTCTGATCGCAGGTCTCCTCCAAACATTTGCTGTTAGTTCTAATCAGTAGTTTAATGTTCTCAAGTAAGGTTTGTGTGCGTCTGACTGTTTGAGATTTCTCTCTGGATAAGCTGTGGCTGATCTGTAGTTTAAAGTTAAAGCGGTCCAGTTTATTTGTCCTTAACAGAAGCGCATGTCTTCAAAAACTAAGTTTATATTTGAACGGCAGTAATGTGATGTTATGATGTCTGTGATTCTGGATCAATGAGTCTGAAGCTGATGATGATTTCTGTGAGAAATAACTGCTTTATATTCCTCCAGACGCCGCCTCCGTGTGCAGGGGTCAGTCTGTGGAGCCGGAAGAGTCCTGGAGCAGATCTGCTGCTGTGTTTAGCAGCTCAGATCTGCTGCTGTGTGGCTGGGATACAGTTGTGTGTGTGTGTATATATATATATATATTTATTAATTTTTTTGTGACATTTTTATATCAAAACTGATATTACACATTTTTAAAATTCCCTTATGATTATACAATAAATATTTGAATTAATAAATTTTTTTAATATACCCTTTTTAAATTTAAAAACAAAATTTTTACATTTTATGTCAGATATTTTTATTAATATATTATTTTAAAAATCCTATATTATGTAGGGTTTTTAAGTCAGTTGTGTCGTTTATCCACAAGGTGGCGCTGCTGTATGCTGTGGAGTCTAATTATTTACCATTTAACATCTGAGGCCTAAATGTAAATTAATCGAGTTCCTATCACTGATCTAGATATAGTTCTCTGTTATAGATCAGTGGATCCTATATTTAAAAGATTCAAATAAAGTGGTTCTTATTACCTTCAGCTTTTTGTGTCTCGAAACAGTATTTAATGCGAGAGACTGTGGGCAGAACTAACTCACAAACAGTAAAGCCATTGGTTGACAATCTGATTAATAACAGACACCTGCCAGAGATCAGACTAGCATTACACACAAGAAACTGCAGGAACACATCAACACACAGAAGTCCTCTCTGAATGCCGTAAGTTAATTTTCTTTAACTTTATGACAATGTTTTGTATTCAAGTAACTCTTAGTTTTGTTACTCTGTTTTTGCTGCTTGATATTGCCAGCTGATGTTTGTGTTTGGTCGTAATCATAAAAACATGCTGCTTACCCTGACTTAAATTAACTATAAAAAGCCACACAAAAAACATGGTTATTATTGGTAAACCGTGGTAGCCATAAGTTACCAATGGTTTTGCTACACTGAAGTTTAACCAATTAATGGTTTCAAGTAAGTGTAGTGATTACACAAATGGTAATCAATTAATAATAATAAAAACATGGTTACTCTACACTTTTATTAGAATAAAAAAATTTTTTTAGGCTTTTGTTGTTCTCCTAGTTGTTTACCTGTAGCTGCTAATGAGACTTTGATCTACTTCTGCTGGTAAAATAATGAGGATATCTGTAATGGTTTTTATGTTAGCACCACCGGTCACAAGAAACCGCTTCATTTCAGCATGTGTCCTCACACTTTTAAAGCTCTTATGACTGATGTTAACTAATTTTAAAATTGTCTGTAGATCATAGATGTGTGTGTGTTATTTGCATTGTGGTGTTTTCACATTAAGCTACTCCACAAAACTGTGGAACTTGACATTTTGCAGATCGGTGACCTGTTTCTATTATTATTGTTGGAGACCTGATCTTTTCACCGCATATCAGTCTGTCTGAGACTTGTCTTCTTGCAGGAAGATGTTGTGAGTGAAACACGAGCTGTGTTTGAGGTTCTGCTCTCTGTCTGGAGGAGATTTCTGCTTCAGCTGCTGGAGGTCAGGAGGAGGTGGCAGGAGAAGCAGGGAGCAACCGTTGACCTCTGACCTCTTTTTTTAAAAAAAAAAACAGATTTGTCGACTTAGCCTGTGTCTGGAGTATTTTAGAAGTCGAAAAGAGAGAGTTTGCCTCCTGCTTCATAAGCGCTGCTGGATATTGTCTGGGAAGCCCCAGGGGGAGCGTCTGGATCTTCACTCCCCCTTCATGTCTCTGCTTGTCTCGTCTCTGGACATGCTCTGATCCGCTTTGCAGCTTGTCACAGATCACGACCAGATGACCGTCACACAACCATGCTTCTGAGACCAGGCTGGGGTTTGAACCCAGGCTCAGTGAGGATTATTCAGACCACTGAGCCACTGGCACTTCCACACATCATTCTTTTTTTTTGTCTTTTTATTTTTATTTAAAGACTAGTGAAACTAAACTTTCATCACTCTCAATACAGGTTTCGAACCTGGAATTCCCAGGTCAAGAGCTGACGCTCAGACCACTGGGCCACAGGCTCTTCCACACTTTCTTTGTTTTATTTCTTTGTTCTTATATTTAAAGACTAGTGAACCTAAACTCCTTTTCCAGCTCAATGCAGGATTCTAACCTGGAACCCCTAAGTCAAACGCTGATGCTCAGACCACAGGACCACAGCCTGCTTCCCGGGGCCTTCTCTTTTTTTTGGATATTTTTCAACCACTTTAACCACTACACTCTAAAAAATGCTGGGTTAAAAAGGGACAAACCCAGCTATTGGGTTGTTTTGAACCCAGCATTTTTTAGAGTGTAGAGCGAGGTTTGAACCCAGACAGCCAGGCGTTTAACCCACTGAGCCACTGGTGCTCCAATCTTTCTCTGAGTTTTGTCTGTCTTATGTGTGCAAAAAAAACCACATCATCATACCAAGAGTGAGGTTTTAACTCAGATGTTCCACATGAAGAAGCAAGACTCGGACCACTGAGCCACTGGCTTTTCTTTGAGCAGCTGTGTTTTTTTGTAGGACTTTGTCACAAACTCAAATTCCCACAATACCTTGTAAACGCAGAAAACAACCGCTGAAAACCGCTCTGCTACTGGCACTAGCATCGGTCAAGCAAGTGGGTGACTTACAAGCACTGTCAATCAGTGCTCCCTGTCTGGAGTTTGGGCCTAGCGACTGTAAAGTCGTCCTCAAGCCTAGACATATATATGTTCCGTAGGTGCTCTCAACTCCGTTCAGAGCCCTAACCCTTCTAGTGCTCCCCGCTGCAGCAGGGTCCAAATGTTCTCTGTCCCATCAGCAGGGGCACCGCTAGCAATTTTGGGCCCTATGAAAGAAAATGAGGTTGGGCTCCCTACCGCACCAAACATACAAGCCAACCTAGTTAACCAAAATCTTTGTCTGCAATTTAATAATACTGACCTACTACCTTTGCTATTGCTTTTGACCACTAGCTATCAGTATTTAGTCAGAGACCTACCCATAGCCGCGGGAATATATTTTATCTGGGGGTGGGGCTTGATGTTGTAGGACGGGGCTGCGGTGGGGGATTTTAAACAAAATCCTAATATTAAAGGGGTCATATGATGTTGCTAAAAAGAACATTATGTTGTGTATTTGGTGTAATGCCGCGTAAACATAAAACAATGTCTGCATTTGTGATCGGAGAAATCAAGAAGCGCTACTCTACACTGCTCAAAACTCACGTCTGAATCATCAGTGGCAAATATAAATATAAATTTAAATATAAAAAACGTACTTACAGTCTGAGAGTCAGAACAGCCGGGATTGTAGTCTACTCTACCAGGATCAGGAAACAGTACTCCATAAAATGCGCTGCACACATCTGAATATTTGGGTTGAAGAATTGAATTCGCATCATATGACCGCTTTAAACAGCCCAAACACTTATAGATGAACATACAGAGTAATGAAGACAGTGTTATATAAGAATGAATATATATATATTTGTGCTTTTGTGATTTAAGCTCAATAATATTTTTTTATCCAGAACTGGGCTCGCAGAGCGGCTTAGTCTGCTTCTGCTCATAGCACGGCGTGATTGGATTCGTTCCTCATACACAAGGTGAAGTGAGCGTTCGAAAGGGAACGCTCTGGTTACTGACGTAACCTCGGTTCCCTGAGATAAGGGAAGGAGCGTTGTGTCACTTGCAGTGCTGTAAGACATACAGTATGCATTAATGAATGACACAGTTTTGACTGTCATGGTGTGTGCATGAACGAGTGTGAAATACCCAATTACGGTGCTTACTCCCATAACTTATAGTGGGCACTTCTTGCATTTAAATTCTGACTGTTGACATTGAAAACGATGCATGTGTTTTTTCAAGGGTATCGGTTAATTTCTTGGAGTGGGTGGGTTTTTGTGAGCTTTTTGGCTGGAAATCTTCTATCCAGATGTCACTTCACTTGTCATTATGCTGGTCTCATCATATTTGTCTTACACTCACTGAATGTAAAAGCTCTGAAACAGCTTGATGTGGGTCAGAATATCAGCGTCCAGAGAGTTCTGGAAGATCTTTGGATGAACATCTGGACTGACTTTCTGAAATGCTTAAGAAAATATTTCCATTAAATGTGAAAAACACAAAGAACATGGAGAGAAAGTGGGGAAAGACTTTAATTTTTAAAAGAAATTTACCATAAAACCAGGAAAAAACTGTCAAACCACTCATTTTATTTACTATAATTTATATTATAATTTATAGTCTATAAATATATTTTACATCTGTAATATACAATTAGAATTCGAGTTTCATCGCCCTCCTGTGGTGAACTGTGTGAATTACATCAATGCGATTTATTTCTACAGATTTAACGCGAGTCAGAGAAAAACCTTGCACTAAATTAGTTTGCATTATTTCATATAATTTAATAAATTAATAACGACCCTCTGCAACAATAAAACATCTGGAAACCGCCCTTTTCGTCTGTATTGTCTTTTTCTGCTATATTCTTATATCTAATTGTGTGAATTACACTGCTGCGACTTTGTTAAATTATTTTTGCATTGATTCAGAATTATTTAACATATTATTGACTATACTGTGCGTCGACAAAATATATTTTTCATAAATATTACATTTTTAAAAATGTGAATGAAATGACCTCCTGTGGTGAACTGTATGAATAACACTACTGTTAATTATTTCTACATCTTTAATTCTA